ATGAGGTGCAGTGCATTTGACCATAAACCCTATAAAACATGCCATACCTCCTCCATGTAATCAATAGCAGGCCCATGGTGCTACTGTATTAACTGTAAGCTTGCCTTGCATTCTTATCCTCTAAATCCACATAAATGAACAACCCAAACCATAAAGTCTCCTCCTTATTTTTCCTCTGTAAATCATTATATCTGTGGGGAGCTGGACAAAACACCATAACATAATTTATTTTGTACTTGGGATGTCTAGCAGAAATAATGAGTTTTAGCCCGCTCGCAATAAACTCTCCCAATATTCTAGTTATTGTCAGACTTAATGAGTAAGAAGAAAAAAAAAAACATAACAAGAAATAGTCTCTTTTTCTGCAGTGATGATCACATGGAAACATTATCCACATGAATCACCCCAACGGCATATCAAATTGTGTCATTTGCCTGGAAACTAGTGCAGGTCTCAGAGGGAAGGCAAGGTGAATGAGCAGTTGCTGTAGAGAGGTGCAACACTGCACAGGCACTTGCTTTGAGACCAATCATAACAGGCGGTGTTTTCTCCACACAGGAGAGAGCGCAGAGAGATCAATGTGCTGGAGGGCACAGGAGTCTTGGTTCTTATCACCTAGACAGTGCACCACCCTGTCTGCCTCTCACGCAAAACAAAAGCCTTTCGCAAACTATTAGCTATCTACACCCGTCTCCTAACTGGCATGCAGGAGAAAATCTGATGGGATCACACTGAAACCACCTGACTTTATGTTACTATTTGTCTTACTGTAGTAAGAATATAGAGCATGAAAAACTAGCTGATGAGGAGAAAGTTATTAAAAGGGCATCTCTGTGGGGAGCGCCTGCAAGTTAGAAAGTTGCAAGCATTGCAACAAAGTGCAAGTATATGGTTGGGTGTGCTCATAAGCAAACGCTGGATTTGATGAAATACTAAACATTTGCTTTGTTGATATCAATTCAGAGAGATGCAGTGCACTGAAAAATACAAAGAGTCAATGCCCGCTAATGATAACATCTCTTGGCGAGTTTTTCATTTAGTATGGGCAAAAAGAAAACGGCCTCTCTTATAAATAGTATCAGGTTTTAACTGGAGCTTTTCACATTTCATTGTATGGATTCTGATTTGTTGAAAATGCACATATTCCCATTCCAGCCTTGAAAAGAAGAGCTTCACTGCAGCTCATACAGTATAACAATTCAAGTATCAAAATGGCGCGATGAAACTATTCATATAGCTACAACCACATGATTTGATTCCCAAGGCCAACAAGGAGCTTCGCCTGATTGTTTTCATGTGTTGTTATTTTGCTCTGGAATAGACGGTGAGAATTTGTTCTCCACTCTCTCACAACTGTACATTTCAATAGCTGGAAAAAAAAAAAAAAAAAAAAGGTGAAGCAGTCATCTGTAATCTGTCTTTACAATATTGTTCCATTTGGTCATTTTCATAATTCAATCGTTAACTTGATTACATAGCTGCTAAACCAGCAACACCACAGCCAATGGGAGCTCTTGTTTCCTGCAGCTAATCAGATCTTATATGGAGAAGCTTAGAATGGCAAATATATGACCGGCCATGCACATAATTGCAAAAAATAATAAAAAAATAATAATAATCATCATCATATTTATACTGTGGTTATCAAGAGAGCAAATGTGGCCTTGAAAGACAAAAACACCAGTGGTATCACACACAGACTTAAGATTGTAATAAAATAAAAAAGTCTGAATTCAAGTCCAGCGCGAGTATCATTCTCTTTTTATTCACAATGTGCAACAAAGGTTAAATGAATTCAAGCAAATCACAGGAAAAAATGAATGTTGTTAGAATGGCTGCAGACAAAAGAATAGTGTTGCGACACAAAAAAACCCAAGAGGGTGGTAATCTGGTATTAAAATAATATACTGTATATAAGACATCATTGTATTTGCTGCCATTTTCCTCCCAGCCTTTGTCATTCAAAATGGACTTCCTTTTTCTACCTAAACTGGATAAACAACATCTGCCTTGATCGTAGGATGTTTTCTGAACAAACCACTTAGGAGGAATTTCTGCTAGCCAATTCCCACAAGCTGCTGTCAGTCACTAGCTGGCACTGCAACACTTAATGCCTTTGTCTGTTCTCCAATTTATCTTGTTAACAGCAAATTGGGCTAACGGTTTGAGGCACAGAGCTATTGTAAAAAAAAAAAAAAACAGTAAGAGGAATACTCCCACGGCCGCAAAGTAACATATGGCTCCCTTCACTCAAAAATGCATCCCATGCACTTATAGGGCTTTAGGTTTACACCATATATAAACCTGATACACACATTTCAACCTGGGATCTGATAGCCGTCTGTCTTGGTGATGCTTTCTCAGTGATAAAGCAAAGGTTTAGTGCATCCTATTCTGAACCGGTGAGTAATTGGCATTTTAAATTACCATACAAACCATGTATGCAAAGGAAGTAAATCAGACACAACTGGCCTTTACTAGTACGTCTGTGGTCTCACGTTTACAAATATGCCTATTAATAATACAATTCCCGGGGGAGATTACAAACACCCCGGATGCCGAATGCTGAATTAATGCTTGAGCTGGGAATGGTGTCTTTTTTTTTTATTTTTTATTTTTTTTTTTAAACATCACCTTGAAAATACTATTTCCACCAAGAGGGATACTGCATCTTTAAGAGCCCTACGGAAGAAAAAAAATGAAACCCATTCCTTTGCATCTTCCATGCTCTTATTTCAATACTCCTCTCTCCTTGTTCCCCCTCCACACATCATTAAACATATTATTATAACATGACTGTCAGCCTGCGTCTCTCTTCGCTCTCATTCTTGCTCTGCCAGGTAATCAATTTGTCGTCACTCTCTGTAACCCCAGTAAAGTCATCAAGTGAAATGAGTTACAGCTGCAAAGAGCCTTCAAGAATACAGGAGGAAGAAGAAAAAAAAAAATGAACGCGAGAAAAATGACAACACAGCCCAGGAATATTCCACCGCTTGATGGCACATCCCAGGTCTTGAAGATGAAATATTAATGCACAATTTGTTTATCTGCAGGCCCACATCTCTCCAGTGCCGAGCTGTTAATTTTCTATCGGCACAGACAACGGATCAGTCAGTCATGAACTCTTCACAGCCATTACCGGGAGACATTTTGATTAAGTATTCCTAATGTAGTGGATAGGAAAGAATGAAAACACTCTGCCTGCCAACTTTTGATTGACCATTAAGCCACTGATGAATGTGCCTGTCAAAGAGGAGACAATTACCTCAACAATGAAGAAACTCTTCTGGAAGGCTTATTTCTCTATAGGGCTGACACATTTACCAGAGTACAGGCGAGGCAGCTGAGAGCGTGTAAAGGGATCACTTAGGCATCTTCTCTAAAGTTCTCTGAATAAAAACCGGGGGGCATTGTTTTTAAGAAAAGGGGGCTTTTGGAGGCTGAAATGCGGGAAAAATATTTAGTGTGTGACTGTATGGCAGCGAGAGCCTTTGTGTGTGTGTGTGTGCGTGTGTATGTGTAAACTGAGAGTGTGCCGGGCAGATAAGGGTCTCAGTATCTTAAGCGGGTATAAAGAGACGCTATTATTGGCAGAGAACAATCGCCATCTGGTTGCTACATCCGCAACCATAATAAAGACTGATAACTTCTCAACACACCACAACCAAGTAATTGCATCCTCGTACGCTGAAATGCCATTGATCAATCTAGTTTTAATCCACCAGCTACATCATAACGAGGCAGTTTGGAGGGAACACAATTCAAAGTAGGACGCAAAGACTGCAGTAAATAAGGTCAAGTTTAACATGCATTTTTGACCTTGTGAATGTGAACGTTTCCTCAGGAGAAGTGCACTTTTGGGAAAGAATTTTAAAAAAGGAAGATTTAGTGGAATGTTTTGGTGTCTATTGGAAGAGAGGAAACGCTGAGATTTAGTGTCCCAGAAGAGCAAAATCTACCAGGATGACATGAAAAGAAAACACAAATGTTAACACAGGAAACCAGTTTACAGTCGACACATTGACCTGAACCGTGTGAGGGCCTCTTTGAAGATGACACTAGACTGCACATAAGCACATGGTGGATTTTTCTGAATTAGACTGCTGACCAAAAGGTGAAATCTGTGTGCTGTGGAGGTGTGTGTGAGAGCGTCCCCCTCTCCCGGCCAGCAGCATGGATGGAGTGCATTTGTGTGTCCGTGTGTGTGTGTGTGAGTGAGGGAGTGAGTGTAACCCATTCTCCATTTGTCCATAAGATTATGAAGAGTTCATACAGAGTTCATCTGCTACGGATACAGCAGCTCCACACCTTTCAGCCCCTCTTTAGTCTTGAAGAGGGTCAAATCAAAACACACTGACCGAGGTTTTTTTTTTTTTCTTTTAAACTGTAAGTGAAAACTAAACTTTCTGATCAATAAATGAATAAATCCCGATGTGACATGTTACGGGATTAAGGAATTACTGCACAGCTGTGTTGTCTTTTTAAATCCTAATGAACAGTTGTCTTTAGTATTGATGTTATTATAGTCTTTTTAATTTACCTCCAACTGCAGAAGCAGCCTGTGATGCTGCAACCCCCCATTGTTTTAACATTTGACTTTCTGACATCTGTGGTACCAGGCCCACGTTGGAGCACTTGAGAGACTCTGTGGTGACGTGACAATTAGTTGAATTTCAGTACTATTAAATCCATTATAAGCACAAAGCGTAGCTGTGTCCGTATTCTTCACAACACTACACATACAGTTATATAACTGTAGCCTACTTAATCCTCACCAACTACAAAAACCTGCTCGGATGGGGCTCCTCGGGACAATGTCTCTCTAAATACGGGGGTCTGATGCGGATCTATTCAGGGGGGTCCCACATGATAAAAGTTTGAGGGGGGGGAACCCTGTGCTACAGGCGAGCTATACAGAGATTCATAACAAATATGATACACAAATAATACACTCGTATTATTAAAGAGGTTCTTTGAAGAAGAAGAAAAAAATCGCTTACCCGCAGCCCGTTTGGGCGCCTGCTGTTTCCGCCGTGGCATTTTTTTTGGAGTCGCAGTTCACTACTGTGCCCAGGTGAAATCTGAATGCGGTCTACGATAGTCCATGCATAGAGAGAGAGATAGAGAGAGAGGGGGGGAGCGAGAGAGCGTGCGTGTGTATGTGTGTGTGCGAGTCTTTATTTTGTCTCTCGGAGTAGTTCAGTCTCTCTCACTATGAAACAAAATCCAGTTAGGAATCGTTTTCAACGGGGAAACAGATGTTCAGCCGGGCTTGTTCCTTCTTCTTCTTCTTCCTCCTCCTCCTACGAATCGTCTCCTTTCACCATCCGTTTTTGTCCATCAGCGCCACATATGTTGATCGACGCGTGTCAGTCAGTCCCGCAGGCAGCTTTTCAGCGGATAAATATGTGGAGGGAATTGCGCGTAAAAGGCGTTTGGTAATGGTACGGTATCTTACGCACGGGTGCAGGCGAGGGGAGAGGCGATGCCAGCAGACATCGATCCATAGAACAAACTGAACATTAAAAACTCCTCCCTCCTCGCCTGGACTTGATGATGGCAGCGAGACATTTGTTACACTAGATAACCATGAGTTTATTAAAGGAACAGAGGCCAGGGAAAAGGGAGGCAGCAGGAGCTCGGGCTGTGTGCTGCTGCTTTCTATGCTCGAGGAACCTTTTTTAGTGTGTGCGTGTGTGTGTTTTAAGATCCTTTCCTGCAGCTTCCGCTTTGCTCGCTGAATGAAAGACATAAAGTTTGTAAGAATTCCGTACAAACACAAAGAGCCGCTGCAGTCACGGACGTCAGGCGCTGCTTTACTGTAACAGAATAACGTGAATTGTGTGAAGATAAACCTGCTTATGTGAACATTTAGCTTTTACGAACAGATGCACAAAACAAAGACGGAATGAGAATTGGGAGTTCTGATTAAAAAAAAAAAGAATTAAAAAAAACATAGGTTTGATAAAGTCACGTGCCATATGTCACATTTTACTCAAAACCTGATCGTACACATCGTTTCAGTGGTGTAATCTGATTACATTAGTGTAACTTCTCAATGCTTTTTAAATTTAAAAATAGTTTACTGCAATGTAAACAGTGACATTCAAACGCATACTTAAAGAAGAAGAAGAAGAATTATAATACAAACAATTAGGTCATCTGGCATTTCAGGATATTGTATGTGTACATAAACTTGTGTTTATCTCATCACATTCAGCTTATAAGTCATTCATGTTCCCATGTATCTCTGATCTGACATTGCGAAACACAGCTGAAATGACAGTAGTAAAATGCTTTTATAAGGTTTAAGTTTCAAGTATATTTTTCACACTTCTTTTTTTTACTTTTAAATGAATATATACAATACTCAGTATTTCAGCTAAGTACTTTGTATGCTGTGCCCTTTAACGTTGGTATATGAACATAATATGTAACTTCTGTATCACACTGTGCAAGCACAATATTGAAGCGTCTTCTTTCTCTTTAAAAGATACTCATGACCTAATCAAATATGAAGTTGAGGTGATGGATGACTTCATTTCAGAGAGACAACATCCCTTAGAGATCCCGGCTCGCCCCTGCATTACAAATGGCTTCCTGATAATATTCCATCACCCTATTTTGTGTCTGTCACTCATTTTGCCAATGATACCAGAGACCTCCCGTGAACTCCACCCGAACCTGTGCGATCAATCACGGCTCAGATCAAGCTTGAGCCATACCTGTCTGACAGCTCTTAACACCCTGTGTGTACACAAAGCATGTGTGTGCGGTGACAGGCGCTACACCAGCGGCGCCCACCGCCACCTTATCTCTGCCAGAACGGCCTCGCTCTGCTGCCACTCGCTGCGCCTTTACGTCATCTGCATCTCCACACACCGACTCGCCCACGTGTCTATTCAACAAACGGCTTGGAAGGAAAACTTTCTGATTGGCGCTTGCATTTGAAAAACTTTTCACTTACCATTCACGCGTCAGTGTCAGCGGCAGATCCACGTGCAGATGGTGGAGTTTGTCATCCCTTAAGTCTTGATGAGCTTTTCCTCCCTCACATGGTTGCAGTTCTCATACCTGGCTGCTTGAGAATTTTCCGGGATACAACTTCAACAGATTTCACTTAAGTGTGTTCCTCCACTGTAACAAAATGTGACAAACATATGTCTTGTTAGTGCTTTTTTTGGAGCCACCTGTGGCTCTCTTTGCAAGTGGGGAAGCAAACATGCAGCCCACATGCTGAGAAAGTAGACAACAAAACTTAATGCTTGTGACTTTTGACCTGTGTTCCATGACAGGCGTATGAACCTAAAGTGGAACTGAAATCATATATTGGACTATACCATGTTTTGCACAGAATTTGAAAATCTTTCCAGTTAAACAAGCGGATGTTTGCCGGAGCCTGAAATCCGATAAGTTCATATTTCATCTCAGATCTCATCGAGAACCGGAGCTGCTTCTGTTACTAACGGAGGCAGAGTTTGTACATTCTCTGAATGTTTGTTTGAGCTTCTGCCCTCATCTACGATTTCCCTGCAGCTCTGACTCAGGAAATGTGCACACATTCTTTGGACGTCACCTATGCCACTTCTGGAATGTTGACAAAATCATCCTTTAATTTATTGTCGACAAAGCAGCTTTCAGAAAGTGGCTTCTGACGGCAGCCGTCATTTTGACCTCTCGTCTTTTTAGCAGTTGAGAAAGAAACAACATTTGAGGAGTGGATATTCAGGTTAAACCTTGAATGTTACACAGTCAGTGTCGTATCCTGGAATATTAAAGTACAGGACGGACAGAACAAACAGTTCTCAAGAGTACAATGTACACAAGATGTGAGTCTGCTGATAGAAGCCTACAGGCTTAATTAAATTAAAAATTATTTATTGCATTTTTGTCTCGCTCATTCAAGTAATATTTCAAAGGCTTAAGGGCATTATTGAAAGCATTATCAATAAAACAACATTTAAAAACCAAAGGTCCCAACTTCTTGTCATGCTAATTGTAAATATCTTCAGATTCTCGTATTGACTGACTGAACCTCTGGTTTGATAGTTTACATAAGGTTTACATATCAGACCGCTCACTATTTTGAGCTGTAATATTTTGTCCAAAGTCCAAAAACCTGTGTATCTGAATTCATAAAAGGGAGAATGAGTAGGAATTTCTTTAAAAAAAAAAAAAAATGTTTACACTCATACAAAACAATGTATGAGCAATTTATAAATGACTGTGTATTACATGGAAGGAGTCGCTCCTGATGAGGAGAATTATCACCGACTCTGCAGTTCCCTTCATACTCAGCCCAATAACTTCTATCAGCTCTATGTTTTTCGGTTTTACAACCTGCAACTGTTTTGGTTGACTAACACTCGATGTCACCAAATGGTGACTAGCTGGCGGATGCAGTGGAGCATAAAGCGGCTACAGAGCAACATATCTTACTCAGGAGCTGGTGGAGACCAAAACAAAAATAAAATAAATGAGTTTGTTCTTTTTCCATCACGTTTCTCTGTGACAAAATGTGCACACAGAAAAAAAAAGAAAACATATGGAGTTCCTTAACATTTCCGTATTACAGATTCCTTTGCTTGTGAAACTAATGTCGTTAATACAAAATGACCTTGGACTCTTTCCTCCTTTTGGTTTCAACGAGTGCAAAGAGAAAGAGGACAATTCTGCAATTAAGCTGTTTTATTTCATTTTTCTCCATCTCTGACATTTGTGTCGGTCCTCTCCCTTCTCTCTAACATTTCAGAAGTATCTAATTGGTTGGATCTGAGTTCACACAGTTCAAGTATTTAAAACTGTTCTCTCTGAAAATCCAAGTGAAATGTATTTTTCTTTTCAATTTATCCGTGCATGAATTCTAAAAATTAGAAGCGAAGGCATTTCGTGGTTCATCAACTCTCAAACAAGATTAATTTTTTCCCCAGGTCAGAACTGTGATTCTGGAATCTAGAACATTTAAAAACACAAAAGCTTTTTCATCCACACTGGTCAGTTATCCATTTGGGTGAAATCTGGACTCAACCGGAGACTATTTCCAATATCATAAGACTGCCCTCATTGATATTACTACAGTCTTTCGACGATAAGGAGTCTAATTATAATGCTCATGATAAAAGGAGGACGGTCGAGGAAATCCAAACCTGTCTTTAATCCAAAGATGATATTTCATGTACAATGGACAGTGATTGAAGTCTGGTTTCATAATTTTCAAAGCGGAACAACAACATATGCATACAGTCAAAAGCAGCTGCTTGATTTTTAAGATGTAATTCATGTAATTCTTGTGAAAACTTACCAAAAGCTAAAACAAAGAGCGATTACTTATTCAGAGGCTGTCAAAAAAGCAAAACAGAAGTTTCCAGTTGCGTGATTGACAAGCGGTTAAAAATAAAATTTCCCGGAGCAGGACTGTAGTGCAGCGATATAATGATGCAAGCCTAATATGAGCTCGCTTCAAGGATGAGAAACAACAAATCACATGAAACACGGATGGTAGTAATCTGTGATCATATAAACAGATGTAAACATCATTTAACACATCTTGAAATGACGCCTTGGTTGTTGAGTTTTGATGACAGCATTAAGATGTTCCCAGAAACAGACTAAATTACATTAAATTTACGTGGGTAAAAAAAAAAGCGTTTTTGCGATGTAACAATTCATTCAGCAGCGCAAAGACGTTAAAGGGAATTTGTGGTTATACACACAGTAGCATGTGGTCCTGTCCCGTGTAAGAAGAATACAGTTGAGTTGAAAGTAGGTGAGGTTGAACAAGCTGATGTGAGTGTTGTTGTTGTTGTTGTTGTTGTTGAAAGCACAGTTAAAGGAGCTTTGTGGGACTCAGCGTGTTTGTCCTCGGGGCTGAATGTAACAGATGACAGAGATCATTGGAGCTTTTTTTCCACATCAGTCAGAAGTTACTCGTTTTTTTTACAATTTTACAGTGTACTTTGGAGACACAATCACCATAGTGATGTTGTTGCACTGTTTGTACATAATGCTGGAAGCTGACGAGTGGGTACTTGACGTTCTCTTCGTGACAGGCGTTGATACCCCATACCACCATTATTTTAGTGACTACACTGAAAAAAATAAAGGCTGGAGTTGGCATGTACAATATGTATTAAAGGCCCCTATATGCGATTACAGAGATCTCGCATGTTGGATGTCAAAAGAAGGTCGAAGGTCAAAGGTCTTTAAATCTCTCTAATGTTGGATTGACAACTAGGGCTGTCGCAGTGAAGTCATTTTCCCCTGTGGTGATAATGATTGGTTCAAAAGAGCGTGGTGTAAAAGTAACGTTTTTATTTTTTAATGCAACATATATAAGCTTTATTGTTGTAGGCTACGATAAGGTATATTGTTGCTTTTGAAATGACAACAAAGACACAGTTTTAAAACAAATTAAATACTTGATTATTGTAAAATGCACAACACAGATGGGCACTGAGAGACAGCGTTTTTTTCAGCGGAGACGCTTTAGTTGCGTCCAGGTACTAAGATCCGGAATATCCGAGGAAATAATAATGTCGGCACAAGGTCTGGCTAAAAGGAGGGCTGAAGCATGCAGAGAGAGGATTAGGTTATTGTTGTTCAGCACTTGCAGCCTACATGCGGGATGTGATGGTTGGCCTATGTTGTATTTGTCCCGCCCCTACTTTACTGTGATTGGACGGCTAGGTTAAAAAGTAACAGTGATGAGCGCAACGCGTTTAACCCTGAAAATAAAACGACAAACATGCAGCGCTCAGCGCAGAATAGACGCTCGTCGTCTCATCGCACTGCTGGATGAAAAAAACAAGTATGTGAACATAGCGGTTGCTGCCATCCTCTGCTTTTGGCTTTTCAATATTGGGGTTGTTGCGATAGCCGTATTTAG